ACTGCAGTAAAAGCAAAGGCGCCCTTTTGTTTTGTATTTTGGAAGCAGTGCAGCCTAAGGTAGTACGGCTCCATTTATGAAACAAGGGAGAAGGCAGAGTACTCTGTGTGGTTGCCTGAGAAAGGCAAAGCCCGGGGCAGAGTCTTCCAGGTGCGTTTTTCCTCCCGAGTCAGCCTGTGCCTGCTTCTCTTCTTCTAAACCGTGCACTAAAGGCCCGACCTGAGCGACCTTGGCGTAGTCAACCACTGTGCTGTTTCTTCTTCTGCTAACAGTTCTCTTGAATGTGATTGGTATCCTGTGTCATTTCTTCTAGTTCATCATCATGGGAGTAAAATGTTACGCTCGGAATCAAACTCTTCAATCACTACTACTCAGCCTACTATAGGTTGGCGACCCCTCTCTTTGCCTCTGCCCTCTGACCTCTCCTCTTTCCTCCTTGACATTCTTGCTTTCGTCGTTTGTTTTCAAATAACGCGCTTCATCAGTCACGTATGGCTTAACTCACATCCAACTGAGCTGGTGCTTCCAAATTGAAACTCTCGACATTGGACGCCATTCCAGTGTTGCAGACGCAGGGGTTGTGTCCGCGATCACACAGGCCAACGCCCTGCACGTGAGGTTCTGGCGGCACCTCTTGCGCATGCACATGTGTTGGTCTGAGTGTTGAGTCACGGATGACCTCCCAGATCCTGCAGTCTGGCGTTTGTTATTTTGCATGTTGTAAAACCAGGTTTTTAAGGCATAAAATAAAAATACCAGCCGCCTTCTTGAAAGTCAAAAACCCGAAAGTTTATGTGTTGTCATCATGATTAATAACCCATCTCTCATTCTGTATAACTGTTCAATTAATCCTGATGGTGCAATATTGGTCTCAATCTCCTGACCTCAGTAGTGCCTACAAAAGCCACAGTCCCTGCCTCCCTGGTCCCCTTGGGGTGGGGATGGCATAGGGAAACACTGCAGGCATCAGTAGCGGGTGGATTAACAGTATTTGAGCATGAGCTTGTCATTTTCATGCTGACTCTCTCTTTAATAGTGGTTCCTCTTGCTGGTGTCTAGTGTTAGAATAAATACACTTTTATTTTTTTCTTCCCCCAACTTACTTGTATCCAAAAGGAATGCATTGTAAAGGAATGCATTTGACTTTTTGTGATGCTGAGTTGGAGTTGGCATGGCAAAAAGGTGTTCTTGCAATCCTCCACGTGGTCTGTGGTGCCGGTGGCGATCTTCCCCTCACATGACTGAACCCCTCTTTTTTTTTTCCCCTTCCTCTCCTGTGTGCGCGCCTTGTCACGTGTTCCACCATCCAGCTAAAGGAAGGACGAACATGGAATTGCGGGAGAAGTTCATCCTGGCAGATGGAGCCACTCAGGGCATGGCTGCCTTCCGGCCGCGGGGCCGGAGGTCCAGGCCCTCGTCCCGGGCTGCCTCACCCAACCGGTCCACGTCCGTGTCCAGCCAGGCCGGCCAGGCCGCCTCCCCTCAAGTCCCCGCCAGCAGCACACCCAAGGTAGGACGCGTTTTCTCCTCCTCCGCACTCCCCGTCCAGAGCAGCAGTCCCCGCCTCTGGAATCTAATGTCCGATGTTCTGTGGTGAAGCTGCTGTAATAACAAATAGGACATGAACAATAGTTCATGCCATGCTCTTGAATCATCCCCAAACCAGTCCCTGGTGCCAGACTGCTGGTTGGGGAGTGCTGTGCTAGAGTATGCTTTTCAATGTTTGGGGTTCCTAGAATTTGCAGGACCAGCTTTCTCCAGATGTGTCCCTTATCACTATATGGAAGATGCAGGATTAAATATATATATGTGTGTGTGTGTGTATGTATGTATGTATATATATATATATATATATTTTGTATGCCTTTGAGACATACAGAGACAATATAGAGACAATCTGTTTGGAGACTTTGATACCTTTTAGATTGGTTTTTCTTTTTAAGGCTTCATTCATGTTTTTGGTGTGTGTAATTTGCCATCAGACCTTTCCATTTGTTTTTAATGGTGATCATTCTTACTGCAAAATGAGTGGCTGTGAATCTTTCTTTCCATGGCTTTGCTTTTTATCTGCCGTCCTTCACGTTTGATTTGCCGTTGTTCCATACAGATTCTCCATCCTTTAACACGCAATTACGGTAAACCCTGGTTGACAAACAGCAAGGTGTCAACTCCCTGTAAACCAGCTGAGTGCCCTGACTTTCCCGTGTCATCTCCAGAGGTATCGTAAGGCCCCAGAGTCCAGCCTAACAGCTGCCTTTAACTGAAACAATCACCTACTAATCCTGGCTCACCTTGATAACTGCACTGTTGATGATACTGTGTCTTTTTGAAGACTTCTGTGTAATAAGTCTCAACCCAGCATTTCCAGGCAGACACCAGAGTAAGGGGTCAACAGAAAAGACGGCTTGTAGCTCCTTAACCTTGCCACCACTGCGGGCTCTTGACCTCTTTTGCTTTTTGTTCTCCTGCTCATTCTTAATTTTGCTTTTCTCCCCTGGGAGAGTGAAGTACAGGAGATTATACCCAGACCTGAGTCCAGTTTCTTTTCAAGTTGATGGTATCCTTCTGCTTCTAGACAGAGTTTCAGCAAGAGATACTGTAATCCTTTTTAGGAGCGAGTGAAAGGCAGTGTCATTTGCAAGAGAATCACTTAAAAGAATGTGGATTGAGTTTTCTCTTTGGGCAAGGTCCTTCTGACTGTCTGGTATGTTTATTTCTGTCCAAGAACACTGCGTGGTTGAGACAGAAGCCTTTTAGTCATCAGTGCAGGGGGTCAGGGGCTCAGGTAGGCACAAAATTATCTCTCATGCTCAAAAGGTGTGTATCTTTATTAGACTTAGTGATTTTTAGTCAGTATGCCCTTTTTTAAATACATGCTCTATAGGGATAAGATATTTAGGTTATATAAAATTTGCCAAGATTAGCTCCTATATCAGATCATTTATGTTTAACTAGAAGTCGACTGTATGTCTTTTAAAGAAACTTCTCTGTAAAATGATAAACATATGCACGTATTTGACCAGAATCACAAGAATTGGGTGGGGGAGAATCTCTAAATAACTGTTCCTGAAACCAAGGAGGCATTTCATATTAAAGGCAAGGACTCTTGTATGCAAGTAACTTAGTACCTCTCGAAAGCCTTTTATGCTTTTCCAAAACTCTTTCTTACGTATTATTTAACCCTCATACCCATAATGAGAGGCTGGCAGAGGAAATGTCATTGCCCTCCTGAGATCGAAATGATGGAAATGGAAATTGCTGATGGCTGTAGACTCGGGGCACAAACCCGTCCTCATCCCCCAGCCCCTCATCCCTCTCCCTTCCCCCGAGTGAGCAGTGTGATTTAGTATCATAGGTTCTGTCTCGAGGTGTCACTTCTGTTGGATCTGTTGTGACCAGAACTGAAAGCAGTGGAGGGAACCTTATGTGAGACGTTTGTTTCACACTTGATCTTGGCCAAAAGGCGGAGAAGCAATGAGACGTTTGTTTTAAATATTTAGGGCTGTGCTACTCCGTTAATTCAAGTTTGTAAAAAAGTGGAAACCCCCCCCAAATTAAAGTCTTTAGGTAATAGAAAACTAGGTATGATTTCAGGTAGCCTCATGAGACAAAACAACAGTATCCTTCCATGGAGGGGTCTTTCAGAGGATGGATAGCTTTGTGACCATAAAATGAAACACATCAAGGCACCTGACGAGTGCTTCTGGTGTTCCGTGGGAAGGAGCTGTCACCTAGGTCTCATCACCTGCGAGTCCTCACTCTCTCTTGGGTTGCTGAGATTCTAAGGTAGGGATTTAGCTGGAGCAGAGCTGTCAGAGTTCATTTGGGCAAATTACTGCCCTCCTCAGGCCCTCCTTTTTCATGATTGTGAAAAAGTGATTAGGTAAGTGTGAGGATTGATTGTGGTTAGATGTGTGATAATATTTTGAACACTCAGGTAATCTATGTATATGAACTCTATTTACATTCTATGCTTAGATGTATAGAGAGAATATGTAAATGAACTATGGATATCATTAATATTAATAAATTGCAAGTCTGATGTATCAGGTCTTACATATGCTTTATTAAGCATTTAAAAGTATCTGATAAAGGAGAATTAATTTTGAAAAGCACATATAATTATATAGATTTATTTCCTCCAAACAGCTCCCTGACTGTGAGCTTACTGAGGAATGCAATATCCTTATACTTCTCAGGACATTTGTTTTTTCTTTTTTTAACTTTGGGAGAATTTTCAAAGTGTTGTAGTGATAAAGAAAAAGTGCAGTGATTTTTAGACTTATAATAAAAATTTCATAGTTGTGATTGATTGAATGCTTGTAAGAATTTTAAGAGAATCATCCCAAAATGTTGCCTAGGTATCTTGTCTGTGAGGACCATAGAAGGTGATGGGGCCAAGAGATAAAAGTGACGTCTTACAGATGAATCAAATGTCACTTTGGGGGGCCATTTTGTTTGTTTAAATGATGGCTGTGTAAGCATTTCTTATTTTCTTTCTGTACTGTTTATTTCTGTCTTGGTCCCTAAAAGCCTTGCAAGCAGCAGATAATCCAAACACAATTTTTCAGAGCCCCATCTTCTCTCTGTACCATGCAATCACCATCCTCTTTTTTTGGCTGAACTCTGAACTCTGTGATATTCACTGACTGTCTGAGAGATACTAACACACTCACAGTTTGTTGCCTGGGGTAATCTCCATTTTCATATCTTCTCTCCAACATGGACTCATCTCCTTTAGAGGGTTCCCTCTGAATTCAGGGAGAGAACACGCAGTTAGTAGGTGGGAGCCCAGGGCCTTGTTTAACCGANCTCTGTTGTCCCCTTCTCCTCCCTCTTTCAATCTTTCCCAGCATCAGGGTTTTTCCAGTGAGTCAGCTCTTCACATCAGGTGGCCAGAGTATTGGAGTTTCAGCTTCAGCATCAGTCCTTCCAATGAACACCCAGGACCAATCTCCTTTAGGATAGACTAGGTGGATTTCCTCGTGGTTCAAGGGACTCTCAAGAGTCTTTTCCAACACCACAGTTCAAAAGCATCAATTCTTCAGCGCTCAGCTTTCTTTATAGCAAGGCTGAAGCGTCTTTAAACTTCCAGTTTTTTGTCTTCCGTCCCTTACGCTTGAATACCTTATCCGCGGGTAGAACGTGCACCGCGTGCATGCTCTGCATATGCACTGCACACGTCCCGCGGGCAGACCTGCCGCACTTCGGAAAACACCGTGTCCAGTTCAGTACATCTCATCCGTCCATCTGTGTGGACTTCCCTTTTAGGTGGGATGGCCCCCCACCTCCACTTTGTGTGTGTACCCAGCTTTTTGTGCATTTCATCCACTTAAGGGTCGCAGCAAGGCCATAAAACCCACAGGTATTGCCTGAGCACCTCCTTGGTGTCCAGCAGACCGGCTGAGATTGAATGTGGTGTTGAGCTTCGAGAACCGGTGGCAATGGGGCGCAGGCGGCAGGATGACCTGTCTCCGCCCTCTCTCTCCTCAGATCCCAGGAGGACCCCGAGCCGACCCGGGAGCCGAGCCGGCAGCAAAGCCGGCAGCCGGGCCAGCAGCCGCCGCGGCAGTGACGCCTCGGACTTCGACATCTCGGAGATCCAGTCCGCGTGCTCCGACGTGGAGATTGTCCCCCCGACACACAGGCCTACGCCCCGAGCAGGTTCTCGGCCGCCTGGAGCCAAGCCTTCCAAAATCCCCACGCCCCAGAGGAAATCACCTGCCAGGAAATTGGACAAGTCCTCCAAGAGATAGTGCAGTTGGTTCCACCGTGGCCCTTCCTGAAGCCTTTACTATTTAAGTCTGAAAGATGTAACATATGATGTAGAGATTATTGTGAAATATTGCAAGAGGTGAGTTTAAAAATTCTGCAGATGGCCTTATCTGTGTATTTGTCTTTTTCTTTCCTCTGTATGATTTGGGGTCGGATAGTCTGGGGTTGGACTCACACCCTCTGTGAGGCGGGAGAGAGTGTTTGACAGGCACAGAGGTTCCTACACTGAGCACACAGTACCTGAAGGTAAGTCCCCAGCCTCCCGACAGCCAGCCCTGCACTGGGAGCGCACATGAAGGATACCTCATGACACTTCCCTGCTTCTCTGCAAGCCCCGAAAAGCCAAAAGACACCCCCTGGGGATCCATTCCGAGACCATGTCAGTGTAAACTGCAAGATGGGGGGGCAGAAAGACAGACACACCCACCACTGTTCTTATCCTCCTGCCTGACAGAGAACTCACAGAAAATTCCTTTCCGCGCCTTCCCATGCTCTGAGATTCCCAGACTCTTGTGCGTTTCTGTGCCCGTGGCTTCGCCTGAGGCCAGAGGCCACCTGGACCTGAGACCTAGTACCCTGTAAGAGTATCATCATAAAGTGCATTCATCTAAATGTGAGGTTTTCTTTTGCTTGAGTGGACAGTAGCACCTGTACCATTGAACTCATTTTGTATCAAAGCAAGTTTGCTTGCAGAAAAGCTATGAAATAAAATATGTCCCTTAACTACATTGCTATGGAATTAATTTTTTTCCCCAGGGAAAAAAAAAAAATCAGTGTATTTTTTTATGAGCAAATATCCATTTGGAGTGACCAAAAGAGACTTAAAAATGGGTTTATTTTGATTTTCTCATCTGAAATAATCATGTTCTGGTATTATATCTATATTTAATAAATATATACCTTTTAATTTATTATGTATACTCACATACTATAGAAAGATATTATTATAGTATGCATTTAATAAAACATATTCACTTGAACATATGGAATAACTGATTTCTTTAAAGTGAATTTTTTCCATTTATTTGTTTTAAATAAATATTATATGGATGATATCTCTTTAGTAACAGTGCGATAGGCTAAGTTTGGGGGACAGAAACATGAGGATATAATATATAATGAGCAAATGATAAAACAACATTCACCAGTCATTCTACTTTTAATTCAGTAAGTACCAACCATGTGCCAGCCACTGTTGGTGACACAGCTTACAGGGTCCCCAGCCCTCTTCTGTTCAAAAGGGGAAAAGTTAATAAATCACTAAGAAACAGAACCAAAAGCAGGGAATGTATGACTGGGTAATGTAGTTATATCCTCTTAGCCTGCTTACATTTAAGAATCAAATGGTAGAGTTTTATTAAAAATGGCATCAAATGTGATTAGAAGGACATGACCAGTTATGACTTCCCTCAAGTGGCAGTGGTGGTGTTCAGGTTCAAGGTGATAATCACGTGTTCCTCACATGGCCTTTTATCATGGAGGACCTGGAGTCTCCACGGACAGAAATTGAGTACCACTTGCAAGTGACAAAAACTTCTTTCTCAAAGCATGGGCCTCAAGTGTGTGCCTTTGATGGGAAGCATAGTTCTAACCTAAGAGAAAGTGTGTTGTAATTCATGCGTTCTATTGTAAACACGTCATCTGAGAAGGCAGTTGAAGTTGCTGTTACTCCTTTGGTGCTCTGAAGATGCTCGCATGTCCAGAGACAAATTTAAGAACATAATTTTATCTCAGCTCATTTGAATGCTGCCCCTGTTAAAGAGCTAGGGATTTTGCCTTTTTGTAACAGAAAAATAAGCTTTAGGAGAAGGGTAAGTGGTTTAAAATATTCCTGAGCGTCTTCAGGAGCTGTTCTCAGTTACTAGCAGTTGCCTTTTGGGGAGCTTTTCACCCTCTGATGTCTGATGTTTATTTCCTCTTGAATGCTTGTTTTCTGGAGCCTCATGCTGACCTCTGAGGTCCTTCCTCCTATAAACTGTCCTCCTCCTCCCTTTGTACATTGCCTTCTCTTTTCCTCTTCTTTTGGTCTTTCTCTTTTTGTATTCTTTCCTTCTTATTTTAAAAACATGACATTGGAATGACTCACAGCACTAAAAATCAGTGTAAAGATTGGGTCTGTTAAAGATAAACTGAGGCATATTAAGAACTTTAAAAGACCTGCAAAACAGAGACAGACTCACAGACATAGAGAACACGGTGGTGGTTGCCGTGTGGGTAGGGGTAGGAAGGGAAGGCCTGGGAGTATGGGCTCAACATATGCAAACTATTATATATAGGATGGATAAACAACAAGATCCTACTACATAGTACAGTGAGCTATATTCAGTATCCTGGGATAAGCTATAATGGAAAAGAATATGACTATAAAACAGAATCAGTCTGCTGTACAGCGGAAATTAACACAACATCGTAAATGAACTATACTTCAATAAAATTTTTTTTAAAGAATTTTAAGAGTTTATTTGAGCAAACTCCAATTCTAATCAGGCAGCCCCAAACCAGAAGTGATTAGGAGTGTTCCACCAACTGGAGAACAGAGCAAGGACACTGCTGCATGGCCACTGCCCAGAGCCCCGCTGACCGCCTGTGGCTGGCTGTCCTCAGGCTTCCATCTCATAGCCTTGGCCGTATGGACTAGATCTGCAGGACCACCTGTTTGTTGGTTCACTCAGTGTCTTCCACAGATGTCAGGGTAGAGGAATGGGCCCTACGGAAAGGGACATGCCTTTTGAGTATGCAGGACTAGAAAAAACAAGGTGGCTAGCATGGGAAAGGAGACCCACCTTTGAATTGTATGTCAGTTACGTCTCAGTAAAACTGGACAAGAGAGAAGGTGAGGGCGTTACCTTACCTAACTGCACTGACTTACTGCTCTCAGCAAATTAGAAGCAACGGTGTCTTGCTTAAAGAAAGGGTCTTAGGTTATGATGTTTCAAGGTTATGAGCCAAAAAGGTTTGAAACAGTTGAGACCAGGGCAGGTCTACAATTACCTTGATCTTCAGAGTGCAGCCATGCAAGGTTAATTGAAAGTTAAGCTGAAATCAAAATGTTTACAGACAAGCAAAAGCTAGAAGAATTCAGCACCAACAAACTAAGTATATAACAAATGCTAAAGGAATTTCTCTAAGTGGAGAGGAAAAGGCCATACCTAGAAACAAGAAAATTACAAAATGGGAAAGCTCACCAGTAAAGGCAAACATATAGTAAAAACAGGAAATCATCAACACACAAATATACCAAAACCAGGAATCATGAGAGGAGGAGAGTACAAAGGCCTGATGTTTGAAATTGGGAGATCAACTTAAACCAAATTTTATATTTTTGTATATATACCAAATTATATATATATATATATGTGTGTGTGTGTGTGTGTGTGTGTGTGTGTCTATATATACACACATACATACATACTGCTATGTCAAAACCTTGTAATCAAACCAAAAATCTACAGTGCTGCTGCTGCTAAGTCACGTCAGTAGTGTCTGACTCTATGCGGCCCCATAGACAGCAGCCCACCAGGCTCCCATCCCTGGGATTCTCCAGGCAAGAATACTGGAGTGGGTTGCCATTTCCTTCCCAATGTATGAAAGTGAAAAGTGAAAGTGAAGTCCCTCAGTCGTGTCTGACTCTTTGCCACCCCATGGACTGTAGCCCACCAGGCTCCTCCTCCATGGGATTTCCCAGGCAAGAGTACTGGAGTGGGTTGCCATTGGCTTCTCTGAAAATCTACCATAGATACACAAAAAGAAAAATAACCCAAACTCAACATTAAAGATAATCATCAAATCTCAAGAGAACAAAAGAGGGAGGTGAGATAAAAAGACCTACAAAAATATACAAAGCAATAAAACAAAAAAATGGCAATTATATATATATATATATATAGGTAATTACATTAAATGTAGAGAGATTAAATGCCCCAACCAAAAGACATAGACTGCCTGAATTGATTTTTAGAAAAATGAAACCCATATGTATGCTGTCTACAAGAGATCTACTTCAGATTTAGGAACACCTGCAGACTGAAAGTGAGGGGATGGAAAAAGTTATTCCATGCAAATGGAAATCAAAAGGAAACTGGAGTAGCAATACTCGTATCAGATAAAACAATTTAAAGACTGCTAAAGAGACAAGGACATGACATTGTTATCAAGGGATCAACCCAAGAAGAATACATAATAATTGTGGATATATATGCACCAACATAGGAGCACCTCAATACTTAAGACAAATATTAACATGCATGAAAGGGAAAATTGACACTACCACAGTAATAGTGGGGGACTTTAACACCTCACATCAATAGATCAGGCAGAGAATGAGGAAACACAGGCTTTGAATGATACATTAGACCATATAGGCTTAATTAATGTTTATAGAACATTCTATCTGAAAGCAGCAGAATACACACTTTTCAAGTGCTTATGGAACGTTTTCCAGGATAGATCACGTGCTGGAACACAAATCAAGCCTTGGTAAATTTAGAAAACCGAAATTTTATCAAGCATCTTTTCTGACCACAATATTATGAGATTAAGAATCAGATACAATTTAAAAAAATTGCAAAAACCAAATACGTGGAAGTTAAATAATATGCTACTGAACAACCAATGGGTCCCTGAAGAAATAAAGAGAAAATCAAAGAATACCTAGAGACAAATTAAAGTGAATACCCAATGATCCAAAACCAATGACAGGCTTCCCTGGTGGTCCACTGTCTATGACTCCATGCTCCCCAAACAGAGGGCCTGGGTTTGATCCCTGGTCAGGGAACTAGATGCCACATGCTGCAACTAAGAGTTTGCATGCCACAACTGAAAGATAAAACACAACACAACTAATGATCTTGCATGTCACAACTAAGATCTGGTGCAGTCAAATAAGTAAATAAATATTTCAAAGTAAAATTTTCAGAAACCTGTAAGATGCAGAAAAACAGCTCTTAAGACATTATAGCTATACAAGCTTATCTCAGGAAATGAGAAATCTCTAAACAACCTAAGCTTCAGTTCAGTCACTCAGTCGTGTCCAACTCTTTGTGACCCCATGAACTGCAGCATGCCAGGCCTCCCTGTCCATCACCAACTCCCAGAGTTTACTCAAACTCATGTCCATTGAGTTGGTGATGCCATCCAACCATCTCATCCTCTGTTGTCCCCTTCTCTTGCCTTCTATCTTTCCCAGCATTAGGGTCTTTTCAAATGAGTCAGTTCTTTGCATCAGGTGGCCAAAGTATTGGAGTTTCAGCTTCAGCATCAGTCCTTCCAGTGAGCACCCAGGACTGATTTCCTTTAGGATGGACTGGTTGGATCTCCTTGCAGTCCAAGGGACTCTCAAGAGTCTTCTCCAACACCACAGTTCAAAAGCATCAATTCTT